CTGTGTACATCAATGTTGGGAGTGGAACACTTCCCTCAGCAGCACACTGCTGAAAATATGGCCCAAATAAAAACTTCATGCAGGAGTTTAGCAGAGAAAGTGACATGTCTTGTCACAAATGTGACTACAAACATGGTTGCATGTGTCAAAAAACTCCAAATTAGGCACACGATTTGCATTGCGCATTCTTTGAATTTAACAGTTCGAAAATCATGTGACCAAATTGAGACACTCACTGATATCCGAAATAAAACAAACCATATTGTAACATACTTTAGAACCAGTACTACAGCCAAAGAGAAGCTGGCCAAAGTCCAGCTACAGATTGGAGAACCAGTGAAGAAATTAATGAATGAAGTGTCAACTAGATGGAACAGCATGTATTTAATGCTGGAAAGCATGGCGGAACAGAAGGAGTCAGTGTTGGTATCCCTAGCCTCTTTAAAAAAAGTGATAAACCTCAGCTCACTACAAATGATTATAAAATCATGGAGGAGACACTCCGTGTGCTTGCTCCATTTAATCAAGCGACAGTGGAGCTGTCTGAGCAAAAAGAGTGTCTGGATCAAAGGTAATCCCAATGCTCAAAATGTGGCACCACTAACAACAACGCAATGCATTAAATGTAACCATAGAAACCACAATCAATCTTGTGGAAAACCTGAAAAGAAGACTGCTAGAAACTCTGTCCAACCTTGAGTCATGAAGCGTAATGACAATACCAACACTGCTGGACCCTCGGTTCAAGGCGATGGCATTCTTAGGTGCGACAAAAGCCAACGATGCAGTGAAAAGACTAAAATCAGAGTGTGCAGCAGTAATTAGAAACGCTGTACCGACACAAATGGAAGATGCCCAAGCTGGACCTTCAACTCAACCATCTGCTTCCAGTCCAGGTATGTATTATTCTTAATTGTGTTCATTTGTATTCTAATATTCATGCAAGTCATCCATGTGAATACAATGAATTAGTAACACAGATGCATTTTCTTGTTTCCTCAGAAGACAACCTGTGGCATCAACTGGACATGGAAGTCAAGGAGAGCAAGGCCAATTCAAATATCACCACCGATGGCATTATCGAGGGACAAAGATACATCTCCGAGGAGAACGCACCAAGATCACAGGATCCACTACAATACTGGAAATCGCAAAGACTAAATTATCCTACCTTGTACAAACTTGCAATGACATTTTTATGTACGCCGTCATCATCAGTGCCCTGTGAAAGGGTGTTCTCAAAAGCAGGAGAAATGGTTTGTAAGCGGCGCAATCGCCTTGGCCCAAAGATGTTAACGCAGCTGATGTTTCTAAATAAAAATGTGTGAAAGAACCTTGTTCAGTCTGTTTCCAGTCTTTATTGAAGTTGCCTGCAATTACTTTTTAAATCCAGCAGATGTCGCCATTCAGTGATACAGCAAAACAGTTTCAACACAGTGTCGACACAGTTTGGGAAATGTGCCATACACCCAATGGGGCCTCATCTGCCCATCACTAAGAGTGAGAGCAGAGGGAGAGCATATATAGCTGACAGAGACAGAGGGAGGGCTAACGAGTTAACAAGGAGCAGGTGTGAGAGGAGACAACGAGGAAGCCAAAGGGAAAGGAACACTCACACACAAGAGGGCAACAGAGGACAACAGAAAAACATGAGAACTAACATAAATCTAGAAATTACAACAAAAAAGGAATTAAACCAATAAAACTAAAAAACAAGGAGCAAAGTAAAGAACAACAGAATCAAGACCATGATAGATACGGTGTTACAGTTTTTTTTAAGGCAGATACTGATTATTCTGGCATCAGTCTAACTAGGTGTGTTTCCTGGAAATGGGAACATTGTGAAATGAGTCCACACCCTAGTAGGAGAAACTCGAGGAATTTAACTTGGGGAAAAAAGCTTTTTTTATTGAAGCCTTCTTGAGCATCTGGCACTGTGTTTGAAGCCAAATCCTGCAATATGTTCAGTCTGCTATATATATATAAACATATAGAAGCATCAACTGATTTAACCCTAAATATCAGATGAACAGCTTGTGAAAAATCTGTGGAAAAAATTGTCATTCTTAGATCAAACAAAGAGCAGGAGTAAAAGCAACTTTAGATTCTTGCTGGTACTAAAAATAATGTTTTTTTGCTTGCTTCTTAAAAATATAGACCAAATAACCAACATATAACAGCTAAATTACTCTTTATTAGGAAAGTGAAAATACCTTCATTGTAATAAAATAAATATGGCTTTATATAGGCTGATGTAACAGCTACATAGGTTTTTCTTTAAATAAAGATATACAGAAAAGATTAGTTAAACTCTTGATTAACAAAAACTCAAGTTTCATGGTACAAATCAGCTTCACCCATAATACTCTTTTTTTTTTTTTTTTTTGTTGAAATAATGTCTTTATTTTTTTTGGCTTCTCGAGATAAAAAAAAAATATGTATATATATATATATATATATATATATAAAAAAACAAGATAATTAACCTATATGAGTAATGGCTTCCCAGTCCATCCGTGCCTGTGATAGAAATCTGAATGTTTTTCAAAGAAAATCTTTAATCTGGACTTATTTTGGGGCTTAATGCATGTAATACCTGTTACAGGCTTAAAAAAGGGGCTGTTCAGAAAATACCAGGTGCTAAGGTCCCAGAGGCATAGGTCTAATTGCTTATGAATCAGAAGTGGAAGCATATCATTAAACCAACAACGTCGTCTCGTTACCTAAAAGTTACATTTACAGAATTACACATAGGCTGCCATGACTTATAAATCCTCTCCTGTTGTTGTGGTATTTAAGGATATAATCAGTGTTTACACACATCAATCATCTCGTTATGCTCACTGCCAGCCACCACAGAAATAGTATTATCTTCTTTCTTTCTTTATATGTCAACTTTCTTCTGTGACAGCTCTAAATAGATCAGCGCTGATAGCCAATAAAACATGTATGAATGCCCGCTTCCAAACAAACCCCTCTTTGATTCATCATAGCGTTGCTGTGTTGCTTTCACCAGAGCTGGGAATTTACAGAACCTTATCATTTGATATCGTAGGGTGGCTCAGTTAATTTCCAGAGTGAAAAAAGATCCAGGGCCTAACCACGAGAGATTCAAACAGGGCTAGAGTCTTGAGTGCCCAAGCCATTCGACACCAATGAATCTGACCAATCCCCTATGCTGTAGGTGCTGCACATTATATTGGACTGTTTCCTGTTATATTGAAGCAATTCCTGTTCCTGAGGGGGCTTTCCTGCAACTTTTAGATTTGCCCCCTGGTCAAACATGCCTGAATCAAATGTCAGAAACCCTCCTCAGTATGCTGTCAGTTGCTGCAGTCCTTTTAATCATCCAATTACACGATTCTGGTGATTTCAGCATGTTGTATAAACAAATATTTAGCCCTTTTTCTTATGGAAAGTTCCCCTTGATGCAAGAGAAAACTGACATTTTTAAGAAATTTGATGCCTATCTGTTAGTAAATCAATCAATCAATCAATCAATTTTAGATTAATTCATTTGCCAACAACTTAAATCCATAATCTCAAAGCATGGCTGCTAAATGCACTGATGAATCTGTGAACCACGGTTTCCTAAAGTCATTAAAAGTCATTAAATTATAATTTTTTCAAATTAAGGCCTTGATTAGCATTAAAATTCACTAAATGTGATTATCGTGGTATTTAAAATGCTTTATTTAAAAAAAATAACTGATTATAAAAACAATTTCGTTATATATATATATATATATATATATATATATATATATATATATATATATATATATATATATATATATATATATATATATATATATATATATATATATATATATATATATACATAGTATATGAGTCATAAGTACTTGTAGATGGCATTAAAATAATTTCTAAGAGCATTAAAAAGCATTAAATTAGAGTTACTCATTCCTGTTTATCATATAATGCCATTTTTGTATCTTTTTTTCTTAACTACACATTTTGTCAATTGTCTGTTGCCTCAGTTAAGACCATGTTGCTCATGTTGTGATGCACCTTTACAAATGTCCTGCAGTGCTGTGCTTTTCTTTTGAGGCTAATAGTACTTGTGCAGCTGCTTAATGTGATGAAGATTCTGATTCCTTCAGAACTTTGCAGCTTTTGTCATGATTTAGTTCTACATCCTGCCTTCAGCCTGTGAAATGTTTGCTGATTGAGTCTGGTCTCTGCCAGATTAAAATTCAGTTCAGTAAAGAGGAAGACATAGCAAGATTCTCCTCTGATTTCCTTAGAAATCAGACTTTACTGCAAGGGAAGGGTGGAACATTCTGGCTGCTTCCAAGAATTCTGGACAGCAACAGCACTGATACCACTAATTGTTTTTTTTGCTTTCTGCACATTTTCTGAGCTTGTATGGGGAAAAAAGGAATTGAGTCACTCTGAGCAATAAATAGACCTTAGTTTTCCATTTCTATTTCTATTTTTCAACCTACCAAGTACTGTATTTCATGCTTTTAATGTGAACAAGCATTTTGTAAAGGTTGCATAAGGAAAACTTGCTGTTCTTCTTCACACCCAGTTCTGAATAGCTATTACTTCCCATCAAATCCTCCCTGCTTCTTTTAACAGAACAATGATTAACCATTTTAGCAGCTTAGTTCCAAGGAAAATCTTTGATTACAGTGTTTACCTTGCGCTTATCTTTTCTATCTTGCATATAATTGTGTAAATGTTTTTGTGTGTGGGGCTGCTTGAGTTGCATTGCCTAGGAAACAGCCTGGCTAATTTTCACATGTTTGGGCATGTCTCCCTCACGCTCATATTTCTCCTTCTCCAGGCTATTTTTGTAGATCATATGGAATTTGTCTGCAAGTCACCATTTCTTTTAAGTATAATATTTAGAGTTGTATCCCTTTCTAAGCACCATTTTTGGGAAGATTCAATTATTTAATGACCCCTAAGAAACTGTTTTTTAAGTGATGTCTAAAAGTGAGGCCATCTCAGAGATCTATTCTGTCTCTTAGGATCTTGTCTTGCAATCCAGGCGTAGACGAAGTCCAGACGCTGCTGAATATAATCTACTGCAATAAGGTTTGTGCTGCATCACAGTTATGGCTGCTAAACCGGCTTCTCGATGCTTTTAATCAACTCACATAACCTTGTTGTTCTCTGTGGTATTGTGCCATGTCGGGATCAACACCTTCATTTATTTAGATTAGTTTTCATCTGTTCAGTTTCAGCTTGTCAGTGAAGATGCCAGATTAACAACCAAAGACCTTCTGGACTGTTTCTCCAAACCAGACTACAGGTAGGCTGCATACACATACATATAATGACATTTTATTAAAAAATTTTTAAAAAAGTATACCCTATCCCAGGCATCCCCAAACTCGGTCCTCAAGGCCCCCTGTCCTGCAGGTTTTAGAGGTTTCTCTGCTTCAGCACAGCTGTTTATAATGATTGCAGTAGACCAAAAGCCTGTTAATCAGCTTTCAATTAAAATCAGCTGTGCTGGAGCAAGGAAACCTCTAAAAGCTGCAGGACAGGGGGCCTTGAGGACCGAGTTTGGGGATGCCTGCCCTATCCTATCTGACAAGTTTGACACATTTATTTATTTGCTTTTAAAAAAATTTCCTGAATGTGTCAGTTTTGGCTTCTGGCCTGAGTACTCGATCCGACCGGTTCTCTTGCGGTCTTTGTTGCCGCTTGCCCGCGGTGTGCTTCCTCCTTCTTTAGAATACTCCTCCTTGTTGACATCCCAAGCAGATCACACAAAGATGGTGTCCATGCCAACATTTCAGACGACTGGCATATATATTATTAACACTTTTCTTTGAAGTGATGCATTGGAGCTTTTCGCTACCATGACAATCAACCAGTGTTTGCAGTAACATTATACGAGTCATTGTCACCGGGATTCTACCATGTTTCTCAAACGAAACACAGGTGTCAGGTGTTGATTCTTAGTTTGTTTGTTTTTTAATGAGAATATTTTAAAAAACAGATGCAGCATAAACTTAGAAATCTGATGTCGTTGTCAAGATCAGTTTAATAGAGCTTCTGGACTGATATGCAGTTGAAACAAAAGTTTTCTTTTTCTTGCTTTTCTGAATCAACTTCTTTTTTTTTAGGTCAGTTAGCGTTACAGAAAACTATCTGCTAAATGCCAGAGTATTTCCTGGTCAAATGTTTATTAATTTCTTCAAATTATGAGCCTGACATATACTGATTTGACCTTTGAGGTGAGAGGGACACCTCTGTAGCTTTTTAGATCAGCCGAAGATTTGTAAATACAGTTTGCAGACTTTCTGATAGAAGAATAATAAGACAATGTTTGAGAAACAGCATTATGATGCCCTGAGCTTGGACACTTAAAAAAATGTATAACTAGCACTAGGGTTGTCACGATACTAAACTTTTCATCTCGATACCAATACTAAGTAAAATATTCGATACTCGATGTCATTTTCGATACCACAAGGATAAAAACAAAGACTCCAAAATTCAACAGAATTTTTTTCGTTAATAAACAAAATACAATAAATAGATAAATAAATACAATAAACAATATTTTGAGGTTGTATGCTCAGGGTTTGTACGGGTGCTGGAAATCCTTGAAAATGCTTGAATTTTGATGTTGTGTTTTCAAGGTTTGAAAAGTGCTTATATTTTGGATGAAATGCTTGAAAATGCTTAAAATTGTAACTATTTCTTTCGCAAAACAAATAGCTAACTCAATCGTGTGTTTATTAAATGGAGAAATAAAATGTTGGAGAGCCCGAAAATGAAACCTGCTCGCTTATGTGTGACTGCGATCTGCCAGTTTATTTCCATGTGTGACTCCGCCCCCATGAAACCACTACTGCACCATGCTGGGAGGTTGTCATTTCAATGAACGTTGGCTGGAAGATGAAAAATACAAATTATGCATTAAACGGGGACAAACCCCACGAGTTGCCTCTTGTAAAGTCTGCAAAAAAGATGTGCAGCTTTTCACAATAGGCGAGTCTGCGCTCTCGAGTCACATGAAGAGTAAGTCATAGACTTTTTAAGTAAGCCAACTGAAGTAGCCTAGTACACGTTAACATTAGCGCTAGTAACTGCTAGCTAGGAATTACAGGCTAAGTTAGTGAGTGACTGAGAGTACGGTGTGATAATGTAATGTTAGTATTGCAGTGTTTCCCGCAGCACTATCTTGGCGAGGCGGCTGCCTCGCCAAACTCACGGTACCGCCTCGCCAACGTTACAAAAAATACAAAAAAAAACAAGTTTTAATTCATTGCAAGGTCCAGACCTTAAAACAGCATTGATAACTCTACGGCTGATAATACTGAATTGCGACACCCTCTGGTTGGTTAGGTTGTGCTCTGACAAATTAAGATAGGATTTAGTTTTATGTATTCATTTCGAACACAAAACTGGTTCCGTAAGGTGCTAGAAAAAGTTTTAAAATGGATCCTGAAAGTGCTTGAAAAGTGCTTGATTTTGACTTTGGAAAAGGTGTACGAACCCTGTATGCTGTGCACAATATTAAGCAAGCTTGATAAATAACTTACAAAATTAAAATTAAGTGTTCCTTCCTTGGCTATGCTTTACACACATAACAATGACACTAGCCAAACCAGTTAAAAAACAAAAATAATTCTCAGCAGCTGCACCTGTTGCAGAAAAAAGTCTGAAACTGAAAAGTGCACAGAAATATTCAATCACACAGTATCCAGAAAGTGCATTTTCCTCTAATCTGTGCATAAGATGAATGACTGTTTAGGTGCCACCGGTGGTAGCACTGTATAGATACTTTTGAAAATGAGTATTGTATCCGGATACAACTTTTCAGTATCGATACTTTTTTGAGTATTGATACTTTTTACAACCCTAACTAGCACTAAAAAAGTGTGTGAGAGCAAGGCAACTTCCAAACCAACACTGGTTGCATTGGTTCTGTTACTAGCAGCTGGCCAACATTCCTGCAAACTGTTAAGATATTATTAGAAGGATATTGAAAATATCTGAACCAAATTATACAATTTAAATCTGCCGAATGTGCAGGAAATTTATGAATTCATAAACTTATCGGTTTACAGAAAGTCATTTTGAAGAAATCTTATTCCGGCATTAGGCAAGAAATAAAAATTGCTGCAAATCCTGATTCTGTAATCATTATCCTATATTTTTCTTTACAAGATATAAGGTTATATTTCCTGTTATCTGTGGTGCACCATAGATAAAACAGAGTCCTAGAGCGTGTTTAAAGGTTTTCAGTTCTTAAATGGAGCTAAAGTTTAGCTTTTTAGACTTCTTCACCAAAAGATGTGTAAGTATTTCTCAGAAGTTTTTTTTCTTCTTCATCTAGATGTTTGTTGCTCCTTCAGTTCTGTGAAATGTCTCCACCTTTTACCAAGTACTGTGTTTCTCTAGGAATTTGCGCAACCATGTTTTTTTCTTTCCTTGAATTCAGTTTGAGAAAAAGTACATGATGAAATTAGCTCTCAGCATTAGTGAATCAGGCTAACTTTGACAAAAAAATATATCTAAAGCAGTGATTGATGATCCTCTTAGTGATTTTGTTCCAGTGAATTGTTTAGTGGTTAAACTTCTGGGGAAACTGTGAGGATTATTAGCTCTACTGAGGAGACGATGTTTTCTTTAACAATTGCTTTTCTTTTAAAACATAATACTAATGGCTATGAGTGAAGCGATACCATTCAGGTCGACCAAAGCTATAGTGAAAACATGATTTATTCATGCAGGGCCTCAATAAAACAGAAAACCACCACTCTAGTAGAGGAACAGATCCACCTGCCTCTTACTGCATTGAAATGTTTGTGCCTGCAGGTATAACCAGGCTGCTGCCATAGAAACAAGCCACCCGTCTTAGTCCTAAACTGATTAGTTGTTACACGTCATCTTATTGCAGCCGTCTGACAGTTTGAAGCATGTACTGATGGCTTTGTAACCGCAGCATATGAAGCTCGCTAGAATAGATTATTCCTTCATCTGTCCTCCAGTAGGGACATTTCAACTCAGCATCTGAATTTTGAAATATGCAAAAAGAGAACAATGTTTGAATAAAAGACATTATCAAGAGGAAAATAGGCCAGAAATTTGTTCAAAGAGATACTGGTAAATATAAAAATTTATTTGGCATGTTTAGAGCAGTGCTTTTAGTCTATGTACAAACAAAGCGATCAAGGTTGGCACTTCCTGAAGGAGGCGGATAAAGACGGCTCTATGTAGAACTGTCTTGGCCAATCGTTTTTCAGGCAAGTAGTGGATGCTGCTTCGAGATCACCATAAGGATTACTCTTACAATCAAGCAAAATTCATTTCATTTAGTAATGTATAAAGCAATTCGAAATAGATTAGCTGACAAGGTTTTTTAGGCCAATAAGGATTATTTTGGCATCAGTTTAAGCAATCTCCATATGTGCTGCCGATTCTTGGAGCTGATGCTTTTCATTCCTCATAGAAACAAATGACACAATGATGACAAATAGAAACAATAGAAACATTGCAGCAATGCATCACAAGGCACAGCTGCTGAACGTGCTAATGAATCGCTGAATGTATGTATTTAGCGGCCCATACTTCTACAACAAACAAACATACATTTTGGCTAAAAATATCATCCAGCCAACGTATTGGTAGCCTCGTGAGACCATCCTGATCTCACGAGCTTTCAAGGTTTCACTCGCAGATCAGTCTGGAGACTCTCCGTTAAAGAAAATTTGGAGCCGTTCACCAAACGAACGTCCAATCAGCGTTGGCTTTGAGGCGGGTTGAGGTGTGAAGCAACGAGAAGCCCGACAGTTCAGTCTAAAGAACATGGCGGCTTCAGCTCATGAAACTAGTGTTAGCGTGGCTATCGAGCAAGTTTTATCGGAAGTATTTCTTCACTGAAAGAAGAGCAAAACACTGCTCTGGAGGCTTTTCTCAGAGGAAAAGATGTTTTTGCTCTTCTCCCGACTGGTTTCGGCAAGAGTTTGATCTATCAATTGGCTCCTCTTCGTCGTCGCTCTGTTAGTACGTCATATGCTTCGTTGATCTGATTGGTTTATTTGGCCCATCTATCACCAACATAGGCCAATCAGCTAACCAATATTTTTGCCCCTTCCCAAAATTACTTCAACGGAAGGTTTCCAGATGGATATGCGGAGCAAATCCATCTGGCGGAGTCAGGTTAACGTATTGCTGTATCTCTGTAAATTTAATACCAGTTTGTGTATTATTTTAAAGGAAGAGGTTTATAACATATCTACAAGCTCATAAAATGTCTGTTTTGCATGATTGAAATAACTAGACTTACTA